GACAAGGCCCTGGAATCTCCTTCTCCCAGGCTCAGATACACAAAGCCAGACGGAGAGAGAGAGCGCTCTCTTTAAAGACTCCACTTCTCTTCACATGGACGCAGTTGCTGCCCCTCTCGCTCCCTCTTGGACAGCCAGATGTTTACACTAGCTCTAGGCTCAGGCATGTTTCCATGACGATACAAGCCCAGGGTTAGTCATATGCCTAGGGGTAGACCTGATGCACCGGATCCTGGATCACTGCTCCCTCGTCGCTGTCACCTTCAAGCTTGATCTACAGACATCTGATAACCCTGACTTTCACAGAATCCTCTAAAAGAACTTTTGCTTTATAGGAAAGCACAAAACCTTCATGGGGAATAATTTTGAAAAGCCTCTGAATTCTATTGTGACAGCATTTCTTTAAGTCCGGCATCACAATTTCTGCCTCTTTACAGCAGTATGGCCTCCCAGAATATTCGAATAATGCTCAGTCTCTCTCTCTAGCTCTCCCTGTCTTCAGCGGTGGGCATGTGGGCTCATTCTCGACGGGCATTGTAAAAAAGATAAAGGAACTCTCTAACCTAACAGGAAAATAAAACCAGATCCACCCACATGAAAAGAAACAGCCCACACACAAACAAAAAGAATAAGCCCTCACCCAACAAAAACAGCCTTAACGCTCAGCCCGATAGCGTCTCGCAGACGACATGCTCCTGCAAGATTTGCGTTGCGCATCTTAAATTCTGCACCTTTGTGGACAGAATGTTTGAATGCTTGTCGATGTGGGCCCCGAAGAAGCTCTTTTAAAAAGCCTTATGAATCCTTAGCTCAAAAGAAGTGCATAGGGAAAAAAAAAAAAAAAAAAAAGGATGTGGATCCATGAGTCTGTTCTTGCACAAACAAGCTTGTGTTCCTTCAACTTTGTAAAATATTTCTCTTTGGCATTGTCATACCAGCAATAACTTAACAATGTGTGCAAACCTTCATTGTTTTTACCAAGCCTTTTGTTTAAATGCTGTTCTCTGTATGTTGTATTGTCGTCTCATATTGGCCGAATGTTAAATAAAGTTTTTGTGCAGCATCTCCACTAACACACCCATGGTGCACAATAATGGAGCCACACAGACAATTTAAGCAGAGTCTGTGTTATGATTTTCTCCATGTGACAAATAGGAAGAGGTTTAAAAAAAACAAACAATCAAAAAACAGGTGAAATAACAACCAGGCGGGTGGGTCGCCTGGTTGTTATTTCACTGTTTCATTGACATCATGACTTATTTTTTATTTTTCTTCTAAAAGAAGGAAGAAAACGGAGAGTTGGTGAGAGCAGATGACGCAGAAACCTAATTAAGATTCTCCAGAGCGTGAACAAATTAACCTGAGTTATGAGCATGCAGAAGCAAAAGACAAGACACACATATATGCAAACATACCCACAGACACACACACACCTAACAGTTTATCTCTGGAATAGGTGGAGTCGGGGAGGATGACATTCACACTTACACCGGCATGACTGCCATGGACACTCAGTGATATTTTTGGCAGGGCCAAGGCAAAATATTACAGGCCATTTAGTCCGATAACACCACCATGGAAAACACAGCAAAATGGTCCACAGGTTATGGCGTATCATTCAAGTTTAATTTAAAGCGCCCTCAAAGTGTCCGCCTCATCACTCAGATTTGGGGCAGTAAGGATGATAAAAATGACATGTAGCTTCATGTGGAAGAAAAAAAAAATTTGCCTAACAAGCGGAGCTGGATAAACAGGCTGTCCCGCGTAGACTATGCTAATGACGACGCAGAGAGCGACATATGCCAGGCATCAGTATGTCACTCCTCGGGGACATGGGGGCTTACGGTAACAGGATAGGAAGGTGGTGGTGTGTACGGTGGTGAGTTATGGGGTTTTTCCTTTTTAACTCTTAGTACAAAGCCCTGGAGGCAGACGGGGGGGTGGGAGGGTTTAGAAACACAGGGATGAGAGTTCAAGGGAAAGGTACAAGTCTTGAATAAATGACAGCAGCGGGGATGAACTTGACCCATGCTGGAGGACTAAAACAGGAAGGAGGGTAATGAAGTGCAAACATGCTTTGTCATGCCATGTTACAGCCATAGGATTAGAATTCTATAATTAGAGGATGGGGCACAATAACACTAGCCTTCCTTTTCAGGAAGATGAGCCGCTGAGTCTAAATTACACAAGGGGACCAGAGAACAGATGCTGTGATCAGAACAGGCTGGTCTAGAAGTTTTCTATACTGGTAAATGATGCTCAGTTGCCACACGGTACAGTGTGATTGACAAGCTAAAAAAAGATTCAAAATTTGGCACCACTGGTGAGATTTACTGATGTTTCTGTGATCAACTCATGACAATGTAATTTTTTATGACAGACAGCTGCTGTTAAGGGGACTGCTTTCCAAAGCAAGATGCATATTTAATGCTGTTCGTTTGCAGTTTTTCATGTATTATTACAAACAGAAGCCTTTAGAGATTAAGGTTAGGTATGTGGTCCGACACCTGCTCTGTGGCTGACCTGAACATCAGTGAGGAGCGCAAAAATACCGAAGCCGGGTTGTTATAACGCCGCTATAACCGAGGAGCAGTGGACCGCTAAGATAACGCCTGAATTTCGTATATGAAAATTTATCTCAGAGGCTGGCATTGGAACAGATGAGCCCGCATGGGAGAGAGAGCGAACCATCCATCTCACTCTCTCCCCCTTTTTCCGCACTTCATTCTTTACTTTCATGCATCGCCCTTCTCTTGCAATCACCATTTCAATGCTTCTTTCCTCTTTTGCATTTTCCACCCACATTTTCCCTCTAGGCTTCCCCTCTTTTTCTTGATATCACCCGATCTATTGCTCTTCCCCTTAAGCGCCATCCCCCTATCCATTCTCTCCATAGCACTGATGTATGGAAAGAGATGGAGGGACCCAAAAAAAAAGGAAAAAGGCTTGTGATTAATGTCTTTGAGAAAAAGATAAATAATCACAGGAGACTGGGGGCTGGTAGTTGGCCTTAGGGGAGTAAATATGGAGAGTTTTATAGCTGCTCACTTGGGAGAGAGGGAGGTAGAGGACGGGATGGGAGGGGAAGGAGTGGAATACAGCGACAGCAGATCCATTCAAGTATATTAGCTCCCCCCAACCCCCATACACAATAACCTCTGCATCTATTCTACTGCTCTACTGTCTTTCATCATCAACACTGAATCCCATCCCACTGACAGCACACACATTTGCACACAAGAAGCCACACAAAGTCATGCATGCATATACGCTTGTGTGCGCACACATACACGCCCTAACAGCCACCCTGCACTGTTTTCCAGGCCAGACCCACTGTATGTGTTTGATGGGCCAATACATGTGGTGTGTGATGTGGCTGACAGCCTCCTCCCTCCCACGCTGCCCTGCTTTTAAGCCCTCATCCTCCAGTGGCTGCCTGTCCCCTGGAGTAGATTGCATCTTTTATTTATCATTTTCTCTTCCTGGCTTTATCTTCCCAAGCTTTAAAAAAATAAAAAATTCTGGGGTGAAAATTGCAATCAGCATAACATGCCCTCCTCCTGCTGTGTACTCGCCTGTCATTCTCCACTCTCTGTGAGCATGCGGGATGAGACTGACAGCCCATGCAGACTCAGACACACAGACACACAGACACACACACACACACACACACACACACACACACAGGGAGAGAGATGCATGTACAATTTCCCTCTGTGTTTATCAAGCCCACACACACACTCTGACACACTTTTCCATCTCTTTAAAGCAGACAGAAGCACATGCATGGCCACAGTAAATGACCTCGTTACCCTGCCTGTCACTATTTCCCAAAGCACACACACACACACTGCTTACATATACCTCGCTGACGCCTCACACTTTTTATTTAACCCTAAGCTGAGTGCTTTGCTTCCTAAAGCCCCAAATGACCGAGCCCATAAATGAGACTAATGCTGGGGAATCTGGTAAACAGGCCAGAGAGAGGGAGGGAGAGCTGCCTTCCTGTCTGCCTACTCCATGGCTACTATTGTGCACTGCACATTCTCTGAGCCCACAAGAGCTGAAGCCATCTCAACACAGATTCTTTGGAGGGATAGTAAGCCAAGAAGTGAGAGAGGAAGAGGGAACAAGGAGGGGGAAGAGAGAGAGAGATGGAGAGGGAGGGAGGGAGGAGGAAGAAGATCATGCATAAAATCTTGTTTGCAGAATGCATTAAGATTCAGATGAACTGGGGAGGGTAATGGGATTAGAATCCTGAACCGTTTCCAAGGGTGGGGAGTCGGATTGACAGCTGAGTCTATTGCACTGACGATTGCAGTGAAATATTGTGGCTCTGGCAAAGGCAGCCAGCCAGCCAGCCAGCCAGGGGGTTGCTGAGCCTATAGCACCTCTAATTACCCCGAGCTTTACCAAAAATAATGCCGCCAAGGGGAAAAAACATATTTGTCATTACCCCGTGCATATAGCTTGGGCTTTAAGTGAATATTGGAAAGGCAGAAAGAAAGACTTCAGTCCGTCTCACAAAGGTGTTTGGCAAACAAAACAGAAGCACTGTGGCTTTAAATCACCGTCCCTCCCACCCTTTCTAAATATCGTCTATTTAGCCAGCGGTGAAAAGATATAGGGGGCTTTTGTCTGCGTACCCATCGGTGGGGGCATGGAGAGCTAGAAAGACACAAAAATAGGAACAAAGTGCTAAGCTTCCAATTGGGATGGCTGTGGGCCATTCAATGCGCGCAGCTCAGTGGGTAAAAACAAGAAGAAGTGGGCTACTATTACGGGCTTGTCTGAAAATAGGCTGCTCTCACACACAGCTATAGGGTAGACTGGTGTGGAAATACCCTGCATTGTTTATAATAGACGAGACTAAGGGAGGCAAACACGAGCCCTTTAAAAGTCTGGCATGGCTCCAATGGAAAAGGCAAACAGTGCTAGTTGGGTGTTTTGTTGGTTATATGCTGTTTTCCTGCGTTACTCTAACGCTATGGTCCACTCACCGACTTGCAATACGTTGTCCACCCAGCCACCCTCCAACAGAGTGACACCCCGTAGGAAAGGCAGCTGGGTCTCGTCATTATTGTCCCCGCTAGTTCCACTTTCCTCTCCTCCAGCGTTGAAAGAGGAATACATACAGATTTCCTTCTCGCTTCTCGGGAAAGACCAATATACGATCCTCCGCTGGACGGGCTCCGGGATCCTTTCGAACCGCTCCTCCACCCTCTGGAACGGCCACTTCTCCGCGACTCTGCGAGCCGCGATATCGAGCAACGACTCGGGGTTGTGCGTTTTCCCATTTCCCGACCCTCCCGGAGCGGACCCCGCGCCGCCACACAGGACACCTCCAGCCCGCTGCCCCTGCCTGCACGCCGGGTTGTAGCCGGGCCGGCAGCAGAGCCTCTTGGCTGGGGGCTGCTGGACTCGCTCGGCCATGTTCGCACCGCTTCCAACCTGAAGCGCAGTTCCTCTCCGATCATATAAACGGGATAAGGAAGAGAAAAGGGCAATCTCGCACCGATTGTTTGCCGTACATGGAGAGACTGCCCTTATTTGGAAAAGTGGGCGGAGCTTGTGAGTTCCGTGAAGTCCTTTGTGTTGTCAAAGTAACCGGATGGGCGGGATCCTGGAGAGCTGCCAGCGCACGAGTGGCGCTATAAAAGGAACTGGAGGCGGAATTCCCGAACGTCGGCAAATCCTTTGTGAAGCTTTTCGGGAGCGCGAGGGTGGAGCCCCGGCGGCCGACGGCCTTTGAAGTTTCCTTCTTATTTGAGTTTAAAGGCGGGGACTTAATCCAGGGGCGGCCTCGCAGTTTCCCACAGGGGTAAAAGGGGGCAAGAAAACTGACTTTTTTTTTTCCTTTGGAGCCTCAGCTACCACCCCGGGCTCCAGCTTCTTCAATAACAACTTGATCGTTGTTTTTGCGGCTTTTTAGTCCAAAAGTGGTTTCAGCTGTCAGGCCGCAGAGGGTAAGAACATATGAAGGTGGACATGCCTGTCCTCTGTAGTCACATCAGCTCTTATATGGTGCAGCCAATTGACAAGTAATCATATGCACTCATGAAAGACAAGCTTTTTGCCTATATTATTTATTTTAAGGGGCGACTCTATCGATTTTTTACTTGGAGATCAGTATAATTGTTGCTTGGATACATAAAGTCTGAGAAAATAAGTCCAAAAGTTTGGTTGCGGTAACTTAAGATACTACCAGGTATACGGGTCAATGATGCTATCAAGGTAGTGTTTTTTAGAGTTCTAGTTCGAAGTAAAAGTTTTATCCTGGGCACCGATGTAGTTTTTGGGGCTTTTAACAATTTCTTTGAACTTTTCTTTTTTCCAGGGTGGAATGATTGCACTGCATGAATCTTTGAAGACTTCAAAACAACAAAAATTGTTTGCTCAAGTTTCAGTTTGTTTTGGGTTTTCTCTAATCCACACAGGGTCAAAGTAAACATACAGGTTCAAATATATTCATACACTCACATCAATATTTTAATAAGTGGTTCTGAAGGTTCTACAGTGCCTTTTAACTTGACGATTCCAAGCCCTATTGACTTTCTTTGTCTGCATCAAAAGGATTTGTTTGACACAGCAGTACTCAAAACTATAGGAAAGTCCAAGGTCCTCAGTGAAGATCTAATTTAAACAAGTTGGGAAGGTCTCATAGGGGAATTTCTAAACAACTGCAGATGATCCAATGATGATCCAAGATCATCAATTCCAACAACTGTACATAAGCACAAATTATTCAGACATGTCAACACTTTGTCGAGGACTGGAAAGACCCAAATCGCCACCCTCAGATGGCAGGAAATTTGTTAGGATGTTCAGAAACAACCCAGGAACCATCCGAGGCTCAAACCTGCCATGAACTGGAAACTGCTGGAATACCAGCATCACTGCCCAAAGTGAAGCCAGTTTTACATCACCATGGACCACGAATGCACTGACAAAGAAAGAACTCCCTGTTCCAAAATCTATAGACTGAAATTTGCCTACATGAAAAAGCAAGATACCTTCCGAAGAAAAGTTTGATGGTCAGAATAAATAAAGATTGAGCAATTAGGCCACAATTACAAAAGGTAGGTTTGGCAGAGTAAAGGTGAAGCTTTCAAACCTATTCACTCTCCCAAGCATGGTGGTGGTAGCATCATGTTCTGGGGATGCTGAAGGTGACACTAGTACATTGCACAAAGTGGAGTAGAGTAATTAAGGAGTGCAACTTCCAAATTCTTGAAATTCACCTCAAATCACCAGCTGGACAGTTAAAACTTGCATAGAATTGGGTGTTCCAACAGGACAATGATCCCAAATAAATCAAAACTGGTTTTGGAGTAGATAAATCAAACTCTGGAATGGCCTCTACAAATTCTTCCAAGAAGAGTTGTGAGATATCCATAAAGAATTATACCAGAAGCTTGTTAACAGCTACCAGAAACATCTGTGGAAGGCGTTGAGGGGCATTTCACAAAATGTTAATGGCATTAATCCATTAAGGGGTTTGGCCCTGTGTGGATTAGTAACAATTCTAAATAATTTCAAACTTATGCACTCAGTTCTTGTTTTTTATTCCACCCTGGGAAAAAAAGTACAGTCCAAAGAAGTCATTGAAAGCCTCACATTACCAAGACAGCACCGGCCACAACTGTAGTTCTAGATAGCTATAGGTATAACTTTTAGGCTTTTGTGTGTTTTTTTAAAGTTCTCATAGCATCACGTTATCTTCTTTTTACTCTTTCCTGCATTTCAGTCTATCATTCTGCCAAACAAAAAAAGGAAAAGAAATGCTAGAAAATTCTCATAGGAGAGCCAGACCTAGTGTGTTTCTTTCTTGAAACACTTATGACACATGGATTAGTGTAGCCAGTTAACCACAAACTGTGGTACACTCATTTTTACTGGCCCCCACCCTGTCTGTTGATAATGCTAGTTCCATGTCTGTGTGTCATGAAAGGGGCCCCCCAATTTTATAGGGGTAGAATACTCATCAGGGGTTAGGGTGTGGCTGCTGTTGCCCCCTGGTTTTTCCTGTATGATGAGCCACTACAGAAGTTAATCGTTATAAGCAAGTAACAAAGAAAAGCTGCCAGGTTGGGGTATGTTTTTCTAAATTGTCTATAAAAGTTGGCTCAAAACTACACTGGTATACCAGAATGTGTGTTTGCAATGTGTCTGCCTGCCGCATGTGTTCCCAGCTGCCCCTCTCATTGCTCTGTGAGTAAGTCTAAAAGGCTGGCCTTTGAACTGCTCTGAAAGTGATCCATGCCGTATGGACGGAGCAGATGTGGCCTAACCTGATTTGGTTTCAATACTTCCCCACAGGAAGTTCACAAAGCCAGCAGGTCCTCCTTTGTTATGTTAGTCATCTTTCTCAGAGGGCCAATGAAGCCTTTTTATTCTATTTTATTTTAACACAGTTATCATTTGCTTTATTCTCCAGACAGAACAGCTCCACACACAATCAGACATTTCAGCTTTGTATATA